TTTCTTTCTTTCCTTTGTTTCCTTCCTTCATTCTTTCTTTTCTTTCAAGAAAAAAGAAATAAAAAAACCAAAAAACTGAAATATACAGCTATAGAATTTCTACTCTTTCTGTAAGCATTATACACTATCCAAATAAAACTAGTAAAACTAGTAAAAACTATTCTAGCCGTGCCAAAAGTTATGGCATAACAAATGTGTAAATTCCTGCATTTAAATGTTTATATTAACAATTATATTTAAATGTTTATATTACATTAATTTCCAAAGGATAGATCTATTAAACATCCTTCTCATTAGAGCTAAGGAAAATAGGATGTAGTTATCTCTAGGAAAAAGGCAAACCTGGCATAATGGCCTGTAATCCCAGCACTTCGGGAGGCCGAGGCAAATGGATCACCTGAGGTCAGGAGTTCAAGCCTGGCCAAGATGGTGAAACCCCATCTCTACCAAAAATACAGAAAAATAGCTGGTCATGGTGGTGGGCTCCTGTAATCCCAGCTACTTGGGAGGCTGAGGCAGCAGAATTGCTTGAACCTGGGAGGCGGAGGTTGCAGTGAGCCGAGATCACGCCATTGCACTCTAGCCTGGGTGGCAGAGAGAGACTCCATCTCAAAAAAAAAAAAAAAATGCAATGCACAGCAGATTATAATTTAAGCAACTGAAAATTTCTTCAATCTTTTTTCCAATTTTGCACTTTTAAAGATACCCTTATTGTCACATGCTTTTTAAAAAATGACACTTCTTATATTATTTGTTGCCTATTAATTTGCATGGTTTTCCATCTAACCAAAATCTACTCCTCCAAAGCTTACAGTATAGCCTGTTCATGGGGCGGAGAGACCAGCCTGGTGTGCAGCCTGCAGTGTGGGGCCAAAGAGTGACCTACAAAAGTGCCTCATTTGGGACTCCTCGTACTACAGTCAAAACAAGGGAACATTCTATTATGAAGCATGGGACAGTCTAGGAACAATAAAACCTACTGTTTCTAGAGCTCCTGCTGTGTATGGCCAACATTTTACATAATCCTCACAGCAATCCTGCAAGATAAATATCACCATCCCATGTATACCTCAGAGAATTTAAAGAGTTTTCCCATGTCACTTAGCTGGAATCCAGGTCTCACATGCTGGAAAGCCCGCCATGCAGTGATACCACCAGCCTTCCATTCCTCTAGGTGACACTGAGCAGGACTTGCTCTATGGTTGGCATTTGTGCTAGGCCTTGTGCCTTGGCCTCAGGAAGCTTAATGTAGACAAGACATAGAATAAACAAATACCTTCCCAAATGTATATTGTCCAGGAGTGACAAGGTACCATGCAGAAAAACCAAGCAGAGTCAATGGAATGACCTGTGAGAATGGCAGCTCTTTAGATTGGGTGGGCAGAGGCCTCTCTGACTCTCTAAGTAAGTGCTCTGTGAGCAGAGGCCTGCTGAGTAAGGGCCTGAGATGTGCTGATTTTGAGAGGCAAGAATAAAGCCCTCAGGTTGTATCCTTAGAAGTACCCTGACATGGAACTATCGTGGTGGCATTCAATCAAATTGTTTTCTGTTAATTTACCTTCAATCAGATTATGTTCAACCGATTTACCTGAGGCCTATCAGGTTACTCTCAGGGAATTTTTTTTTTTTTTTTTTGAGACAGA